TTTTCTCCCTCAGCTTTTCGCAGGTGGGAGAGAAAAAGAGAAGACCGACTAAATCCAACACTATCCATTTATCAGCCCTGGATAAATGTTAATTTATCTGCTGCTTCGCATCCCACCTTCTTACTCTGCTCCTCTTTATCTCAGCCGTCCATTTTTTCTCAAACCTGACCTTATCGCTGATCGATGGCTGCGTTAATTTCGTGAAATCGCATGTTATTTATCAGACGTGGATCTCTTTGTCGATCAGTATTTTTTTTATAATTTATTTAAATTTGGGACATTTATCTTTTTGATAAGTTTGGATACTTTTATATCATGTAGACGTGCATTTTATTCAATATAATTAACTTATTAAAGAATCTTATTTAAGTCCTACAAATGAAGTGTAGAATCGTGTCGTTTAATTTAAATAACTCTAACAGGCTAAGTTAATAAGTTAGAATTGTTCACGTTCAATGGTGTAATACCGTTTTTATTAGACTTAGGCCAGGATTAACCACATATGCACGATATTGGGATGCTTAAAGGTCAAACTTTCTTTAAAACATTGTTCAGGATATACGTACCTAATATTAACAAATCAATCTCGATTTTAAATATTGAGATTTGTGCTGCTATAGATACTGAAATTAGTCTTACTATTTTAACTACAAATATGAAATTATGTTGATATCGATGTGAAGGATTTCGCTAGAAAATATATGTCGACTATCCAATTTGTAGTCTTATCTCTTACGAAGGACTTTCTACAAATTAAGTTGATAACGTTCTTTGAATCGAACTCCACCATCGTTCGAGAAATCCCTAACCTCACAGTAAGCCGCAATTCTTCCCGTATTGCCGCAATTTCCGCTAGCTAAAAAAAATCATATCCATGTAATTATAAATATTGATGAAAATTAAAACATACTTATATCCCAATTTCATTGGGGAAGGCCGTGGCCACAAAGAAGCTGACTTTTAAACAATTACGAAATTTATTGAATAAAATAATTAATAAAAGTCAAGAGGGGAAATGGATAAAGACAAGTTGATGGGACACGTGGACGGTCAGATATTGGTCAACGGTGGAAATGGTCAAAAAGGGCGAGAATTGGTCGGCAAAAGATCTCAGATCTCGGCGGATTTTGCCACGTGGAATATACTCAATAGACACGTGTTGTGATATATTCTATAATCGGACGGTCGAAACTTTTTGTGTACAATAAATTCGATTATTTAATTCCGAAGCCGATGGTTCCATCTCTAGCCTCCACAATTGTTAAATTTGAAAGGAAAATCAATTATTTATTTATTTATTTTCATAGGTTAAATTATCAATTTAGTTAATTTTAATTAATTTGATATTTATGGTTTTAGATTTATTTTAAATTTGGTTTTTCAAAAATTATCCTTAAATTGAATTTTACTCCTTTTTTTCTACTCAAATCTTAATACAATTTTTTTTAAGTACAACAAAAGGAGGGTAGAAGAATACGAATTTATGACTTTTTAGTTAGAGATAAATGTCAGTTACTGATAAGTTAAATTCAGACTAACTAATCGATTTCCGTTTATATTAAACGAAATGAAATAGAGATCAAATTTTAAAATCACATGGACTAAAATAAAACTAAATTCAAANGCTTTAAGTAAAGTTTTCCCTTTTTTTTTCTTATATCTCTCTTTATCTATCGTTTCTAATCGGTGGGCCCCACAGAGAGATGATCGGACGGCCAAGAAAGATCACGTGGGTCCCACGCGTTCATAAGTGTAGGAGATCACGTGGATGGTTCACGTACGTTAGATCTAGGTTGTATTGAATTAAAACGGGAGATTTTCTAATTTTACAAAAAGAAAAAAAAAGTGTAACTTAATTAAATAATTTTTAACACGAGTCGAAATTAATTTTACCCTTTTTTTTTCTTTGAATTGAGCCATAAAATTAAATAAATAAATATACATATATATATATATATAATTTATTTGCTTCAACAATAGGTTCTATTTTTTAGACGAATTTAAGCATTTTTTATTTTGTGCCTTGGTCTCAACTAAGTATACATTAAACCCACACAAAAGAAATATTGAATGTTTTATTGGTTAATTTTGAATTATTAATTGATTTGTTTATGGGTGGTTTTCTAATTTTGTTTTGAACAAGTATTAAATTATGGTTTATTCAAAATTAAAGTTCAACTTGATTAAATTAATTAAACTGAATTTTCAAAAAAAAATTAACTGAAGTTTAAAGTCAAAATTAAGTAAAAGAATAGTAATAGTAAGCTTTTAATCTCTAAATTTTTTATAACTATTTAAATTCTAAATATTTAACTTTAGTATCAATATTTTGTATAAGAACTATTTTAATTCTTACTCATTTTAAATATTTTCTTTACATTCAATCTTACTACTCTAAAAAAATAATAATAATAAATAAATAATATATATATATATATATATATATCTTCAAAATTCATAGCCTTAAAAAATATTTATAGAGAAAAGAAAAAGAAATTTCCACAGAAATACAACAATGTCATGTAGATACTTGAAATTGAGAACGTTGAAGTCGGATCCCAAACCCAAATAACGAGAGATATGTAAAAGATTCAAAGGAATCAAAATTTTATACAAAATTAAAAGAAATAAAAATAAATTTAGGGACGTGAATATATTTTAAACTAATTTAGAGTGGGAGAATAATATATTTAAATGGTGTCAAATAATGATTGGCACGACTAGGAGTTTGAACCCAATACTTTATTCTATCCTGTTTAATCAATTGAATCATTGATCTTATCCAATTTTAGATATATATAATCTTCTCATTATAATTAATTCTTTTAGTACTTATGGAACAAAATTGTATAATTGTAAAAATTAACCCAAAATAAATTTAGGCTCTAGGAAATTAATTTAGAAAAAAGTTTTTTCGAAGTATACTTTTAGGGGCCATTTGTTTTTTTGGGGAATGTAGATGTCTGGAATAATAGATGACCACATTTGTTTTGTAGGAAAATATGTAAGGATGTTCGAGAATACGTGGATAGCTATGTTTGTTTTGCCGAATTTATCTATGGAAATGTTCTAAATTTATATAATGTTCCAAAAATGTCCTTACGAATATTTATATAATTTATACATTAATCTATTATAATTTACATTTATATAATAGATTTTCTTAAAATTAATTTAATATTTTAAGTTCTTTATATTAACTGTGTATATGGATGCATATGTATTAATGAACTTTTTAAAAAGTAATTAATATTAAATATAAATTTTATTTTCAACTTTAATATTTTTTAAAAATACCATTATATAGTTAATGTTATTATGTGAAATTCATTTATTATAATTATCAAATTATAATTTGATAATTATAATAATTATATGAAAGGTAGGCTGATCGTTAAAAAAATGTTGTTTTAAAATTATTTACGATATTAGTCATAATAAGTCATTTCAAATATTAAAAGTAAATAGAGATATTATATAATTTAATTAAAGTTTATTTTATATGTACGTGTAATACATAAATATACTTAATTACTTATTAGTCTATAGTACATTAATTTATTTAAATTATAAAATTACAAATAAAACTAAAGAAATTTGATAAAAAAAATATATGAAAAATAATTCCATGATTCAAAAGGGCATCCAAATCGACTTGGATGCCTTCTGTATGGGCATCCTAGGATACTCGGGCATCTCGAGATACCCGGATATCTTACATTACCGTAAAACAAACGTGGAAATCCAGATGTCCGTATCACGGAAATCTTGGATTCCCACGAAACAAACTGTCCCTTATGTTTTATATAAATGATTTAGGTGAAATTGAATCCCAATTATTTCCAAATTTCTAATGATTTTACTTGAAAAATTATAACAAATAAACGAAAAATGAATTGGAAGTAAAATAAATAAATAAATTTCAAACCATAGTACATTTAGTTGGGAAACAATATATAAAACATTTCTTCTAAGTGAAAATTCATGCAACCTAAACTAAGATTGTATTTATCTCAATTGAAATTGTCTGGCAAATGAAATTAAATGAATATCGGGATTCAAGCAATTTCAATTGAGATGACATGAATCTTGCCTAGGATTTTTCTTTTTTAAGTAAAGGTAAAAAATTATTGAAGAGTTCTAATTTTTAAAACATAAACTTTCTAAAACCCAAATTGCATTTACCTCCCAAAATCTCTCAACACTTTTTGTTAAATTTTAAAATTATTATAGAAACATGTTACCATTCTCACAATCGACGAAAATACACATGAAATTGAAAAGAATAGAAGAAAAGTTGGTGAAAATTTTGTTGTGAGTTAAAGTTTGCATTTAATGAATGAGAGTAAAATTGTAAAATTCAGTTATATGCAGGTAGAGGTTAGGAAAATTATTTTAAGTATGGTCAATCTTGTAAATACAAAAACTTTTTTTAATTACTTTTTACAATTACTGTAACGCCCCAAGCTCAAGATTCAGACCAGAACTAGACGGTGGCAGGGGACGGAGGAGAATGCTAGGACGATTATGGGCGTTACAATTACTCAATAAAATTCATAAATATACTCTCTAACTTTTAAAACGATTAACTATTTTGTTTCTAGTTCTCGATTTTTAAAAATGAAGCTTAGAAATATTACATTTCCCTCAATTTATTTAGCATAATTTCTAAAATAGAAAACTAAAAACCAAATGTTGGACGGGATGGTTAATTGAGTTTTTGGTTATGATAGTCTATCACTATTCGTGGAGTTGTATCTCAAAACCAATTAACAATGAGAGGAGTAACCCACTTATATTATAAATCATTGTTAGATATCTTATCTTATCAATATGAGATTACTAACCCTATTAATATTACTAATAAATCATAGTTTAGCAGTAATGCGGCATATCAATTAAATAAATTTTAGTCAACATGAACTTAGCTTAGCGATAATTGAAACGCGTCTTTAATTAAGAAGCTATGAGTTCGAATCTGCCCACAGCCCACTTGCACTAAAAAGATAAATAAATTTTGATAGAATTAACATGGTGTGGCATGCAACTAAACAAATTAATGAACATACCGCATAAACATTTTTGTTGGTTATTTTGTTTCAAATTACATATATCTCGCTTCTCATGTTTAAGAATTTTTTCCAAAATTTTGTAAAATTTTAAAACAACAAAATCAAATGACTTCGTCTCTTGTTCTCATCTTCAATTTTTTTCCAAAACATAAATAAAAATATTATTTTAACATTCTTATAGAACACATAATAAATATTTTTTAAAAAATAATTTAACATAAAAATTGAATATTTAATTAAAAAAACTACTTTTCATATTAAAAAATTTACTTTTTTAATTTTGAATCTTAAAGAACAAGAAATAGAAAATTATCCCATAACATGTTTTTGTTTCTTTTTGAAAGAACAAAAAAAAAAAGTAAGATACATCTACCAAACACAACCCTATTTTTATTTATTAAGAAAGAAGAACGAAAAACAAGAAACAATAATATTATCAAGCAGGCCCTTACGAAGCTATTAAGTTTATCGAAGTTATAAAATAATCTTGAAGAAACATAAAAATTTACCGACGAAAATAAGATTTTTTTCTTTTTAGTACAAGTAGAGGTAAGGAATTCGAACACATAATCTCTTGGATCAGAAACATATGTCATTACCGAGCCAAAATAAGATCTAAACCTAACATTTATTGCAATAATTACATTAATTCCAAAAGGAAGTTTAAAGTCTCAAAAGCCATAGGCCAACTTCAGTTGTTCTTTCAAGTAGTCCCCACTGCGAATGGGGGGTATCTGCAAGGTTTCCAGACAGGAAATCTTTGCATTTTTCAGTGATTATAGGAGAAAAAGATCCAAATAATGCATGAACTTGCAACTATTAATCCTAGGGACTCGTTTGGTAACGTTCTCATTTCATATTTCTTTTATCTAGTTTCTATTTTTTTCTTTTCTTTTCTTTTAATTAAAGAAAAGATAATCGTTTCTTGTTATCTTGTTTTTAAGATATGTTTGATAGACAATTTTTATTTCTTGTTGACTAAAATTTTTAATTAACAAAAGTAAATCAAATTTTCAAAAATTTCATCTTACATTTATTTTTTTTAATATTAATTATGCATTTTTTAAGTGAAGAATGATAAAATAATGTTTATGTTTTGGAAAAAATTGAAAATGAAAACAAGAAACTAGAAATTTGATTTTGTTATTTTAAAAAATGAAAAACAAAATAAATAAATAAAAATTGCTACCAAACTTTATGTTTCTAAAAAAGGAGAAATTGGAACATTACCAATTACTCTTCAAATCGGAGGAGGAAAAAAAAGTCACCAATGTAAATGGAGTAAGGGGAGGTACTTCCTTTTAGAACACAATTCTGAAGAACAGTCCTATTAGTTCTGAAAGAGAGATTTTGGATTTTTTTTTTTTTTTAACAATTAGAAGTCAGAGCTTTGCTTCCCTATACTTACAGGCACTCACGTTTGTCCCAAGGCCCGAACCTAGAAGACTTCAAGATTTTTTGGTATTAAATTCACCGAAAGATTTGAACTTAAGACCTCTAAACCAGTATGACCAAGAGACTACAAACTTTTGCCGACTAGGTCGCCATTTATGGGCTTTTTGGAGATAATATTATAAAAGGAGGGAAATATCGATACCTTGGGGGAGATGACTCAGTACAACAACTTTGAATACATTCCACAACACAATCTTCATCGGGATTCAAGAAGAAAACCACCTGCAATATGAGAGCAAATTTCAAGCTAACCAATCATATTTGATGATTCAAAAAGCTTCTTGAAAGTAGAGTTCACATCATGTAGTTGAGATGGCAAAACAATTTGAATTCATGTAGCAAAAAAGTTACCGAATAGCGTTCTTCTCCAACTGGAGTCACTCGATGTAGAGTTGACCTATCATAAATTACACTAGATAAAAACGCAAGAAAATGCGAACAACCATCCAAAGCACTCGAATCGTTTTTTTTTTTTCTTTTCTCCTTCAATCAGCATTATCAAAATATACAATGTCAATCTTTACCGGAACAAACAGTTAGTCCACCTTTCCAACATGTCCCCAACATTGACAATGAATGCCCTGCGGTATCAGAGGATCGAATCCATTACAAAGTTCGAATGTTTTTTCGAGTTTGTGTTTTGAACTCACTTGTCTATATGGAGAACATCTTCCCAAACTCGTGGTTGATCAAACTTTTCTTTACATATCTGCTACCGCGGAAATTTGGCACAAAAGTTTGCCTCAGATTGTAGCAAATTTCTCTACAGAGTAAGATATAAATCGATTAGGGAGAAATACCTGAAGCCCGGGAACCCCATTGGTAAGGAGAGTGAGCATCCCAAAATCTGAATGTGCAGAAGCACCACATAGTTCTTCATCGGGAGATCTCAAGTCACCTAAGTTAAAAAATAGTGAGCAGACAAACAACAATATTGCATCTATCTTATCCAAGCCCAAAGGACTGATTTGTAATACTAAGCTAAGAAGCATAGATATCAACACGAGACGAGACATGGATATGACACGACACGAATACTGTGACATCATTTTATAAAAATCTAGGACACAGGCACACAAAGACACATTTATTAAAATACACTATTTTTTAAAGTATATGTCATTTTTAAATAGGAAAGAAACTCAGTCAACAAGCTTGTGCATTTTTATGCTTTAAAATATGAGTTTGATGTATTTTACCTTCAAAATTTATTATTTTGTCCTATGTCTATTTCTTGTGCTTAATAAGTGTTCAATACGTGCCTAACCAATGTCGAATCTATATTTACTTTATACAACTAGTATGTGACACACATTGCTAACAAGCGTCCCATACGTGTCCAATAAATGTCGGAGTGTCCAACACGAACACGTTACCTAAATTGAAGTGTCCATAATGGTTAGATACTAAGCCTTAATAACTAACCAGATAAATTTCAACGAATCATTGGTTCTAAAATAAGGTCATGTTTACCCAAAGAAAATGAGAATGAGAGGATCATTCTCACTCATTTTCATGCATATTGTTTACATATTTTATAAAAGAACAAAAACGATTCCTAAGTTTGTGGAATTTTTGCATTAAAACTAAGAATCATTCTCATTGGCTTATTCCTTTCACGAAGATGGAAAAGGTCGTTCTCATTCCCCATGTTTTAGTTGGTCATACCATCTTTATTTTTTTTTTACCTTCTCTTTACTTTTCTTTGCTTTCTACTTTTCTGAGGTCTCACATCACTTGAACCTATTATAAACATTGATAATTAATATCAATAGAAATCCTCTCCAAATTTTAGAAATTTTAGACCCATTCCACAAATGTTCTTTTTGACTAATTTTGATTCCAAGTCTCCCTTCTCCTTCCCATTTCCATATAAATAAATGGGGCAAATATAATGACGCGAGGAAATGGAAATTTTCATTCCCAAATTTTAGTTTTTCCATTTCTTCTGACATTTTTATGAGCACCACATGAAGTTAAATTTTATTTCCATCGCAAGATTTAGTAATCTTAACCTTATTCCTCTACATTCCTATTTCAGTTACAAAACAAGTTTACTAAACATGATCTAGATATGTATTAACATCTCATAATTTTTCTTTTCAATTGATTTTCAACTGGACTCTTTTTCCATTCGCCATTCTCAAATGGGAATAAGATAGTTCAACAGTACAGTACAAACAAAAATGATAATTATAACTTTAGTGATACATGTTGATGTTACTGAACCTGGATAATGCAGAAGTCGAAGAAATCTCGATGGATTATTGAAGGCACCAATTTTCTCAAAGAAGGTTTCATCCAGATTCAAAGCCAAAGCAATCAAAGACGTTGACTGTCTTGCAGCAAGCCTGTAGCAAACATAGAGAGAGCAAGATACATTGTTGGATATTCTTAAGATTTTAATTTTTATTCTTTCTTTAACTTGGTCAATCCACTATCCAATTACGTAGGGAGTGGTTGATAGACTTGACTAACAAGTTTGCAAAGAAGAGAGGACTCGTTAGTCCAATAACATACCAGTTTTTTGGAAAACAGAAGGGCTCTACTTTGATTTTCTTGTTCTTGAGTTACCTTTATCTTGAGCATACAAATTATCAGGGACTCGTAAGACAGCTCTTAGTTACAGTTACACACAAGCTTTCTTGAAGGATTGTTGTATCTTCTTGCAAAAATGCCAATAAACCTAGTGTTGTACAGGTCGTATTTTCTTTACAAACACGCATCTCAATCTAAAATTTACAAGGCTATTCTAATCGCTCTATTTCATCGTCGTCTTAACTTTTATTTACTAATTAATATGTGTGGTTATTTCAGAAATTCCTATTCCCTTTAAATATTTCCAACAAATATCGCAGCAGTCCAATTTCAAAAACTTGTAGTGAGGATGGGAAAATTCACACCAAAGAGAAAACATGCATTTACAATGACATAGAACCAATTATATTAGATTCAGTACAAGTTCGTACGGAAAGTAATCTCAAAGGCATTTGAACTTACAGGGCTTTCTCTTGGAAGGATTCCATTGTAGCTCTCCAAGAAGGAAACAGCACTATGATTTCCTTGCCAGAGAGAGTAACGATTAGCTGAAGCCTAAAACAAAAATTAACTAATATAAATTTACACAAAAAAATTTCAATGAACACTAATTCCTAACCTCTTGAAGGCCACTGATTTAATTCAGCTTCAGTTCCCTTGCCTGACAAAGGGCCAATATCATACCCCTCTTTTGCATCCCCTATCACAGCAAATAGTGGATAAAAGATTACAAGTAATAGAAATAAGTTATAAATTTGATCCTGAACTTTTTGAATTGTGTCTACTAGTCCAGAATTTTAGGTCTCTAAACTTTTAAGATAATGTACGTCTATTTGACTCAGTACTCTAAACTTTTTGAATTGTGTCTACTTGGTCCAGTATTTTAAGAAGTTTCAAATAGGTCCCTAAACTTTTAAGATTATATATGTCTATTTGGCCCAGCACTCTAAAAAAAATAGATCTTTGAACTTTTAATTTTGTATCTAATAAATTTTGTATCTAATAAGTTTTTTATCTTAACTACATTTTAACTTGTCAAAGTTAACAACAAAACTTATTAAACTTAAATTTAACGAGTTCTCCACATTTCCACAACAGTAAATATTCTCCATTTTGAGCATAAACCCTCGTCCTTTTACTTTTGGTTTCCCTTTCACCCAAAAGATCTCACACTAAGGGAGATGTTGTAACTTTGGCTGCATTACCTCTTCTTAAACATAGTACCACTTCACCTTCCCTCAAATAGTCCTCTATACATCTAACTCTCTCCTAGACCACGAGAAGTTTAGGCACCAATTAGAAACTTTCTAAAGTTCAACTACTAAATTAGACACAACCCTTTTCGGGAGCTAAGCTTGTAATATAACCAAGATAAACAACTTTCTCCAATTTTAACATTTGAATAATGGTAGAGAAAGTGCATAGAGTGAGAAAATTGCAACAGAAGTGGAATGCCTTACGAAAAAAACCTTTAGAACTTGAGCCAGTCGGATCGAGCTTCTCAGCATAGAGAGGGGAGTAACCCCTGTGCGCCTTCCGAGAAAGTTTCATCTTCTCCTCGATGGGCAGAGAGAAGAACTTGGTGCTTTCATCAAACACTCTCTGCACCAACTCGTCTTCCACGCCGTGATTAACCAGGTAAAAGAATCCGTAACCTAAGCACGCCTGTGAGCAATTTGCCATTCCGAGAAAACGGATTACTTTGGGGAAAAGAAAAAGAAAGGGAAAATCATCCAACGAACCTCGCGGATTGAAGTAGCCATGGAGGTGCGATCTCGAGAGGCGAGATCGATGATTGGAACAACCACGGCCCCGATCTTACTTGCATCGGAGGTTTACTAATCAATGAAACCCCTGAAACAGTCTCTTCCCTTCCTTAATCAAATGCTGCTACAGAGCTCAGAGGCAAATTCAAAGCTAAGCAATGTACGTGCCTTAATCAAACTGAACGACGAATTGACAATGACGTCTCTTTTAAGCGAAATTCTGCTTTTATCCGTGTAATAAATTACTATACTTAACTACATTAATTAAATTTTGTACCACCAAATACTTAAATATGTCTAAATTCAACGTGCCATATAATTATTATATAATATAGTCATCTTGCACGTAATGTTAAACTAATTAAGTTAACAATATAATACTAATATAGACACGGTTGTTAAAATTTAAAAGATCAAATTTGTAATTTAACTAAAATTTTAAATGAAAAGTTGAAAAAGTCCTCAGTCTATTAATCCACGTGATAAGTGATACTTAGTTTCATAATGTTTAATGGAGGATCTAGAATTTTTCATACGGAGGTTTACAAGTGAGCAATCTCAAAAATTCATAAATGAATTGAATTATTTGATGTTATTCATCTATTGAAATGGGATAGATGACGAGTGTGCTAAGATTGTGCAACATAATTGGGATTATCGAATGCATCAATTAATTACTATTTAACTAAGAAACTATTCGATAATTTCGATAAACTAAATTGTCGATAATAATAATAATAATAAAGAATGTGAATTGAGAATGCTAAAAAAAATGAATGAATTTGTGTTTGTGAACAAAATTTAGGAAATGTTAGAGAGAGCAAAAAAGTTAAGAAATTCCATCTCAAATTAAGAAATGTTTTCATTCCAACGTTTTATATTTCATATATTTAGTTTATTTATAATTAATTATTAACTAATTAATTTACTATATTTATAATAAATTTACCTATAGTGAGCTTACCAAATTATTAATGTATTTTTTAATTAGAAATAAATAGTTAATTAATTAAAAAAAAGAGAGAAAATAATTAATTAATTTTTTGAAATTAATTAGTACTTGCATGTCTTGGAAGTTGAGGGAGGATGATATTAGTCAACCAAAAAAAAGTTTTTTTAAGACTCCCATGTAATATAGATAAGTAGATTTTTTTTTTTTTTTCGTTTACAAGAACCATGGTTTTTTAATGCAATTAATTTTTCTTAACGATTTACTTAAACGTTTAAATCTATTATTATTTGTTTACATTTATATTTTATATAAAAAGAATAAATCTAAGAAGATATATTATTTCATATTTATAGATAAAGTAATTCTTTAAAAAAGCCATAGGTTACCATCTAAATTTACAAAATATAAAAAGTTTAAATTATTTACTTTATATATTTAGTAAATTTTAACAAAAATAACTTCACAGTGTAAAGGAGATTCAAACCGAAGTGGTGAGGGACAAATTTCTTAACCTTAGCAAATTCTTTTGTAATAATAGAAATCATTTCAGCCCTCCAAACTTACCATAAATACGTCACTATTTTTTTTCTTTTTTTTCTCTAGAATACAACACGTAGGATAGGGAGATCGAACTCACAACCTCTTAATTGAAAATATATGTAATTATTTGCCACTATTTGTGTTTTGTTGTTATAGTAGTGAATATGTAATAAGAATACGAAACTCGAGTGTTCACAATTTCATTCTATTTTTACAAGTAAAAATGGAATTGTTATGTTACACATTTTACATTTTTTTAACTCACTTTTTACAAAATTATTGAATGTGACTGGTACTACATGAATATGATTGTCTTTGTGGCTGTTTTTTAATAACTATTGAACGATATAAAATAACCAGACATATTGTGGTAGCCTCTTCCTAAAATTTATCGAGAGATCTTACACCTTTTAATCAAATCCTCAAGAAGCATAGGTCAATCTCAATCGTTCCTTCAAGTAGTCGCCACTACGAATGGGAGGATATCTGCATGCACATTCAATGGTATTAAGGCTATTCCGCCTAACTCAAATGATCAAAATATATATCAACCAAAAGATCGAACTCAATTGATTAAAATATATATCCTTGACCCAGAGATTGAAGGCTCGGATCTCCGCTCCCACAAGTTAAATTAAAAGAAAAAAAAATGAAGAACACTTTATCTTTTTATTTTCTCACTTGGAAAATAGAAAATATATACATTTTGGTGTTGAAAATTTGGTCTTTTGAGTTTTTAAAAACAAAATTTTGTAAATAGGATTCACATCATGGAGTTGCTTGGATCAAAATCCTACAAAGATGGAGAGCTTTAGGGGATAATATTATAAAAGGAGGGAAATGTCAATACCTTGAGGGAGATGACTCACTACAACAACTTTGAAGACATTCCACAACACAATCTTCATCAGGATCTAAGAAGAAAGCCATCTGCAATGTGGAGAGCAAATCAAGCTAAACAACTTAGGACCCGTTTGGTAATGTTCCCGTTTCTTGTTTCTCGTTTCTAATTTTCTTAATAAACCTAAGCATTTTACAACTAATTTTACAACTAATTTTATTTCTTGTTTCTCCTATTTTGAAAACATTCTAACAATTGTATAGAAATTTAGGAACAATCAAAACAAGTTTCTCTTTTCTGGTTCCCATGTACAATTTATTCCAAAACATAAATAAAAAGATTGTTTTATCATACTTGAATTATTGGAGACTGAAACCATGCCAATTAAAAATAAAGAAACAGAAACAGGAACGTTACCAAACGAGTCTTTAAATTCTTCTCCGAGTGGAATAAAAACAAGAAGGGTAGCTAAAAAGTTACCGAATAGCGTTCTTCTCCAACTGGAATCACTCGATGTAGAGTCGACCTATCATAAATTACACTAAATAAGAACACAAAAATGAAAGAACAAGCAGAATCGCTCGGTTCTTTTTTCCTTTCTTCTTTTTTTTACAATTAGTGTTTATCAAAATATACAATGTCAATCTTTACCGGAACAAACAGTTAGTCCACCTCTCCATCATGTCCCCAACATTAACAATGAATGCCCTGCAATACAAGAGGATTGCATTCATTGAATTCCAACAGTATACATTTTTTCCAAACAGTCATGAACTTTCCCTAATGGTGTCTTCAGAGAACCCTCTTTATAATGTTCAACTGTTTTCGAATTCAAGTTTTGAACTCACTTGTCTATATGGCAGACATCTTCCCAAACTCGTGGTTGATCGTACTTTTTCTTGCATATCTGTTACCATGGCAACTTGACACAAAACTTTTCTCTATAGAGTAAGATTTCGATTGATTAAGGAGAAATACCTGAAGTCCGGGAACGCCATTGGTAACGAGGAGGGTGATCATCCCATAATCTGAATGAGCAGAAGCACCTAGTAGTTCTTCATCAAGAGATCTCAAGTCACCTGAGTTAAAAATAATGAGCAAATTATCAACAGGATTGCATCCCTCTACTTGAAGATTTTGAAACACTGGGCCTTAAACTGACCTCATCTTAATGAATCAATTGGTTGTGAACTAAGACGATGTTACCTGAAGGTAATGAGAATAGGGAAGGAGAATCATTCTACCACATTTCTGTTTATATTTGTATTGTTTTCCAATTTTACCAAAGAGTAAAAATGATTCTCAATTTGAGGGACTCACACTAAGATTGAGAATCATTTCCAATGATTGATTCCTTGGTGAAGAAGGTCAATTTCACTTCCCCATTATGGTGGATCCAGACACTTCTCTTTCTACTTGTTTCAGGCCCCAAATGAATTTAAATATGCATCTCGTTATAAAATTTAGAAAGCAATCAGTGACAATTCTCAAACGATCCTACTTGTGCTCCAAAATAATTTTAGTAAACGTGATTTAATATCATTCCATCAATCTCCTTTTTGATCTTCATTCCAATTGTTTCTCATTTCTTGTTTCTCGTTCCCACCGATAATAAACAGGTTGAACCAGTTCGACACTAAAACAACAAGGATTCTTCATCTTCAACTTCTTTAAATTTTATGTTTTAAAAAAAATCAAGTTACGTATGTCACTGAACCTGGATAATGTAGGAGTCGGAGATAAGCCGAAGGATTATTTAAGGCACCAATTTTCTCAAAGAAAGTTTCATCCAGATTCAAAGCCATGGCAATCAGAGATATTATTTGTCTACCAACAAGTCTGCAGCAGAAAGCAAGATATTATAGCAATCAAAATTCAAAAACCTTTAGCTGTCCAGAAATAAACAAGACAATAATACTTTTTGAGTAAAACTTCTCGGTGGTGATGGGCCAACGCATAAGAATGACAAAACATGCATATAAAACAACGTAGTACCAATTTCATGGCATTGATGAGTATAAGGATGCAAAGAGATCAATCCCAAAAGCATTTGAACTTACAGTGCTTGATTATGGAAGGATTCCATTGTAGCTCTCCAAGAAGGCAACAGTTCTGTGATTTCCTTGCAGAGAGAGTAACGGTTCAGCTAAAACTGTAATCAACAAATCTAAACTTCTTCCAAAGAAAGTTCAATAAACACCGATTGCACACCTCTTGAGGGCCACCGATTTAAGTCGGTTTCAGTTGCATTGCCTGCCAAAGGGCCAATGTAATAGCTCTCTTTTGCATCCCCTATTCACATCAAATCAAGGATACAAACATAAACAACATAAACGACTGGATTTCGTACAAATTTGTCTATAAATTGAAACAAAAGCGGAGTTCCTTGAGTAATCGAGAATGAATCGGAGAAAAACCTGTAGAACTGGAGGCGGTCGGGTCAAGCTTCTCAGCGTAAAGCGGAGTGTAGCCCCTGTGCTCCTTCCAAGACAGTTTCATCTTCTCCGCAACAGGGAGAGAGAAGAATTTCCTGCTTTCATCGAATACTCTCTGCAGCAACTCGTCTTCTACGCCGTGATTAACCAGGTAAAAGAATCCGTGATCCAAGCAAGCCTGTGAGCAATTTCCATTCCGAGAAAACGGATTTTGTTCAGTATTTCTTTGGGAAAAAATGTTTGAGAAAATTGATTAAGAAAATTCTCCGACGAACCTCGCGGATTGAAGTAGCCATGGAGATGCGGTCTCCGGAGGAGAGGTCGATGATTGGGAGTTGCAGAGCTTCCTCCATTTTCGGCCGATTTGTCGTTCAGAGAAAGTTCTTGTTCGCCCCACTGATAACTGATAAGTCAACGTGGTCAAGGTTTTAATTTTTTTATTTATTTAATTTTTTTTTGGCAAGATAAAAAGAGGATCCGATCCTAATTAACCCGTTAAGACATTTATTTCCAATCTCAATATGATCTATTTATCCGAATGTGTCCATGGTCATGTTTCTGTCCACATGTACATTTAAAAAAAATTGTTGTAATGTTTTAAAAATATGGATAATTGTGGTAAGGTTTTAAAACATAGATGTAGATACAAATGTGAGGCCTCATCTTTTTTTAAACTGTCTATTAAAATATTGATGTCATTTCTAAAAACTTTATAAAATTAAAAATTCATAATCTTATCTTAATTAATTTTGGTTCATTTTGTTTTTCTAGTTTAAAAATATTCATTTTATTCAACTTTAAATCTACCCATGCTTTCAAAATTAAAAATATTTAAAGGGGAGGTGATATAATAGAATATCATTTTGGTTTATAAATTTTTAAAAGGCCTATTTCGTCGATAAATTTCTAATTTATTTTATTTTTATCTTCAAATTTTAAAAATGTCTATTTTAATTGAGGCAGGTTATTTTCTTTAGTTATTGTCTGGAGTAGATAACAAAAATTACATATTAAAATAATTTTTTTTTAATTTCTTAGACAGTAGGAATTAAAATAAACATTTTTTAAGACAAATTAGATGCAGTAGTTTATATATTTTTTGTTTGTTAATTTTTACAGTAATATTTACAAATTAGATTCACTGAGTTAATTGTACTCGTATATTTCAATAAAAAGAAAGAGTCGCAAGATAGTTGAGGAATAACGTGTTAGTGAGGTAATTATTGGTATATAAATGTATTGATATTCTACTTATGGTATTTGAGTTGTATAGTTGTATATACATGTATTGACTTTCGTATTTTGTTAATTCTTGAATTTGTATATACATGTATTGACATAATTGAGTTTCATGGTAATATATACGTGTATTGAATTCTAATTTCGATTTTTCTTTAATTGGTTTATACATTTATTGACCTTTTAATTTTGATAACTCTTCTAATGTTTTAAACGACGATACAAAGTCTAATGAATAGAATGAAAGAGTGAATAATGAATCCACCGATTAACGTAAGAAAAATAACTCATCGTCAAAAGAAGTTTGAGAAACTGAATCTGATGACAATACACGCCCAAAGACTACAAATTTAAGAGGCATCACCTATTTTCCTAATCATTTTGATTTATGGATTGTTAGTCTTCGATTTTGTAATTTACTTTTGTTGTAGATTATTTATTAAATGATAAAGAAACACGAAAACAAGAATACAAATAACATGTGACAGCATATACTTATTAGTGGTTAGGTATATATACCAATTGATGCAAATATGTATATATACATTAAGAACATCCAGTAGAACAATTGCAAAACGATGAGATGGGAGATGAATCGTTGTACACAAATCGTTTAAATTAACCGAAATACTAAACAAAGTAATTAAAATAATTAACTTGAAATTCCTTGAATTTATTAAAATCATTTTGAATTCAAAACAAAGTGGTTGAATATAGGAAAAAGCCAAAACATAGAAAATGGTATTGTTGGAAAACTACATTCTTTTGTAAAACTCCTAAAATACCATTTAGTCATTTGTGCAAAACTTAAAACTAATAAACATTTTTTAAAACGGATGACAAAATTTAGCCATCCACTTAAATTTCTCTTTTCTAAAACTAAGCCAAGAAACGGGCGAGGCTTCTGGGCCGCACCGTATTGGGCCTTAGCGGGCCGACCATATAAGGCCCAAAAAAACAAGCGAGGGGCAACCATAAAAGGCCCAACAGACGGGCAAGGCATTTGCGCCGCTCTTATATTGGGCCGACCATAGAAGGCCCGAATCTGCAGGCCTCATAAGGACAGTTGGAGAGCACGTGCGTTGAGACAAAAAATCTAAAAGAGAGAGACAGAGCATGTGGCGTCAATTAGAATAGAATCTTCATATAATAATGCAAGTAGGCCACGTTTTATAATTTTTAAATGTTTCTCTTTTATTACTTTTTTACATTTTTTAAATTAAATTCAAACCTCCCTTTCCTCTTTTGCTTCCTTTTCTTGCCTTTATTTGTCATTTTTACATTATAGGTATTCTTTCTCATGTGTATGTTTTGCTTTTTTTAATAGTTGGTCTCGTAATTATAAATTAGATCTTTATGGTTTAGATTTATCATTATTATTTTTAGAATACCACAAATTGAGAGTACGAGAGTTTGAACTTCCAACTCTAAATAAATGAATATGTATCAATTATCACTAAGTTATCATTATTTGTTTTAGGTATCTAAAATGAATGTTAAATATGATTAAACGACCAATGAACACAAAAACTTAAATCGATAGTTTATGATAAATTTAATCATTTATAGGATATTTAACATGGGACGTCATTTTTTTTTAATTTAAAGTTTTGAAACCACGATGTTGAAATTACAAAGATCAAATTTCAAAGATGAATCGTACAGAGATTAAATTTGATTGATTTTCAACCATTTTAAAGTAGATTGGTGTGATTTACATTTATTCGAAAACTATTTTTGAAAAGTTGTTAGCAAAAAAATAAATAAATCATTTAGCCAGAAAGGCTACATCATAATTGATCGTAAAACTTGATTGGAATTTAGAATAATCTTTCTATGAGCTTTAGAAAAACAATGAATATCCTATCATAGAGGATGATTGGAAAAAAAACGAAATCATTTGAAGCAATGATCATATGCATATAAATATTCATATTTATATTTATAATTAATCATTTTGACTTATATTTTCTTTCTCCAATTTGTCTATTAAAAAAAAAAAAGAATTGATTATCAATCGATAACTCTTTAAAAATAAATTTAAAAAAATAAAAAGTCCACCAACCAAACATGCCCCCCAGACAAAATCCTCGAAAATCATACTTTTTCTCCTGAGGTTCCGAAACTGCCCTCGCGCAATCATATTGTTAATGATTATTTATTGCGTTGGGGATGGGCTCGTACGTCTTTTGGCTTCTTTTGGGGGAAATTAAATAAATAAATATATGATTTGGTGATCTTTGGTACGACGCACGTGTAGTCCAACTCAACAACGACAGCTTTTTAATTTTAATTTTCCTTATTTTTTATTTTTTATTTCGATTAACGAAACGATTCGTTTTCGACGGGGTGAATCTCAGAATCACATGGTGACCAGCTCAGCCGGTCACATGGCTCTGATACGTGGGCCCCGCGGATGCTTCTTGGCAAGCGGGGAGGTGCACGTGTGGTGGGAGAGATGGACGGCGGAGGCGGGAATGGATCGGACGGCCTGAAATGGATCCGTACGAAGATGGAACTGGCTATTCCGGTGGAGGGGGAAGGGGCAAATTATGGAGGAAATTATTATTTATTTACTAATTTAATTATTTTTTGCAGTTGGGGTTTGACCGTTGACCGGATCGGGCGGAAGACAGAGTTACTTTGACCGAAAGTGAACGTGCGGGTTAGACACACTACACGTGTGCTGTGCTGTCCGTTTGATGCCACGTGGGACCCACGTGAGTATGGGAGAATGGAGAGAGAGAGAGAGGAATTTGGATGAGCCTTTTCTCTCAATTACCCTAAGAAAATGTTTTCAAATAGATTGAAAAGACAGTAATGCCCTCAGACAGTAATGCCCTCAGACAGTAATGCCCTCACCTAATAGAGTATGACTATGACTAATCCAAATATATGTGTTTTCAGGTAGTTATTGTAAGTAGAGAAATATTTTGAAAATAATATTCAAAACTGTCTTTAAATATGTAGTCATGTGAGGATAAAAGCATGTTAAATTACAAATTCAGCCTCTCCAACTCAAAAAATTGATTTATTGAACACATAATAGTCAGTCTATTATTTAAGATTTAGATATATTATCTAAAGCAATAACCAAGTCTACACACACAAAAGAGATGCATATCAGTGCTTAAATTGGACAAGAGATTAATTAAGTTGAGAATAGCAAAAAATAGAGTTGCGTAGAATATACCTCACCCCAAGTCTCTCCTCTTATTTACAAAATAAGTCTCCTCGAGTTGGTTCAGTTGGACCTTGTCATGTTAGGTTAGTCTAATTGGGTAGTATCGTTCAGTCCAGCAAGCTTAATTCAGACAGTTTGACCCATTGTTATTTTCTTGGACTCATTCAAGTGAACTCAATACGTATAATAATTTATGTCACTCATAACATAGTTAGCACGATGCAAACACACTCATGCGAAAAAAAACATGGCTGTATCAGGTAAGTAAAAAGAAAGGGATCGCAATCATCACAATGTGGCAACTATCCAATAATCGTTCAATGTAGAATTAATACTCGTTTACTCTTAATAACTGTTCGATACAGGTTCGAGCCGTAAATATCTTAAAAATATGTACATATATATTTGGGGAGGAACATGATTAGGTTGGGTAGAAAGGAGAGGGGTAAGATGGGTGTGTTGAGCGTGACAAGACTAACCCCAAACCGAGAAGTCTAATCAAAAAACATTTTAGTTGTTGTGTTGTGTCGTGTGGTGTTGTCTGTGGGCCCACTGTCCTCCGCCAAATGATTGGACAAACCACAAACTCCGTGGCGAGGAGGGGAGGGGTAATCTGGATACTTCACACCCTTCGGTGACCAACCAACCACCATCCGGTGGTGGTCCCCACACTTCACGTGCGCTTCACGTGGCTGTGTGTTGTGGGGAAGTTTGAGAGTTGAGAATGGAGACCCCTTTCCCTTCCAAATATTCACTTGTCGGATGCTCGCCCCTGATATATATCCTCCAATTATTTCCCTTTTTTTTTCCTATTTTTCTTCACGTGAATTTTTTGGATTTTTCTTTATCATTTCTTTATTTTTTTTCCTTTTTACTTTTCTTTTTCCTTCCATTTTCAGGAATATTTTATTATTTTTGGATAAACGTCAAGTGAAAATGTTTTTGGATATGCATTAAAATATATAAATATAGGATATGAATGAGTTTGCTTTT